CTTAACGACTGACTGAGCCACCCAGGTGCCCCAACAGTGCTTAACTTTTTATATTAAAAAGAAAGTGGTGAGGGCACGTGGGTGGCTCAGCTAGTTAAGTGACTGCCTTCGGCTCAGGTCATGATCCTGGAGTCCCAGGATCGGGTCCCGCGTCGGGCTCCCTGCTCAGCGGGGAGTCTGCTTCTCCCTCTGACCCTCCCCCCTCTCATGTGCTCTCTCTCTCTCTCTCAAATAAATAAATAAAATCTTTAAAACAAAAAAAAGTGGTGAGCTTTTTAAAAACTATGGCCATAAAGGGCACCCAGCTCAATAGAGTCTCAGTCAGTAGAGCGTGCAACTTTTGATCTCAGGGCTGTAAGTCTGAGCTCCACATTGGGTGTAGAGATTACTTAAAAATAAAATCTTAAAAAAATAATAAAAAAAATAAAAACTGTGGCCAGGAGGTGAAGAGAAAAATCCCCCAACTCATCTACGCATTTTCCTGACATGGCAAACTGAGGCCTTCAGTGATAGGATGGGGGTTTTGTTGAGTGCCTTCTTGGTGGTGGTCTTGGGCAACAGATCTTCCTCTGAGCCTCAGCTTCCTCATCTTTAGATGGGGCTAGAAATAATGCCTACCTCAGGGGGTGGCTGTATGGCTTCAGGGGCTCTGCTAATCCTTGGCTGTGTGATCGTGGACAAGTCACTTGGCTCTCTGTGCCTCATCTCCTTCACCTGTGGAATGGAGATAATCATGGCACCTACCCTATCCGGTTGGTGTACATTCACAGAGTTAATTTACAAGACGTGGCATAGGGCCCACCCTGGGTAAGAACTCAGAACCCCCAGCCCTCATTGGTGTTGCGCAAAAGTGCTTGACACAGGACCGGCCGAAAGAAACGGTCACCTTAGTCAACACTGTCTTTCAGCCTTGATCCCATTTAATCCTCAGCACTATGCTATGTGGGGAGCGTGATCATTCAGGTTTTATAGACTTGAAAAATAGGTGCTCAGAAACATTGCTAGCCCCAGGTTATATGGAAAGGAAATGGCAAGATCAGAATTTGAACTCAGATCGGCCTGGCTCCAATGGCCACCCCCACCCCCCATACACACAGTGTTTACCACGTGCTACTCTGTTCTAAACCTTTTACAGGGATTATTCACTAATCCCTACAAGAGCCTCACAAAGTAAGTTACCTGGAACCTGGAACCTGAGGCCCAGAGAAGTTCGTTCCCGGCTCAGGGGTCACACAGCCCGCAAATGATGGAGCTGGGACCTGCACCCGGCTCCAGGCCCTGCACTGCCTCTTCGTAAGCTCGTGGCAGATCCAGAAATGATGTTCAGCACCCTGAGACCAACCCAGTGCGGGGAGGAGGGAAGGGTTTGTCTGCCGCCTTCTACCCTGTTCCCTAGAAATACCTGGGGAAGTTAGAGCGTGAGTTTGAGTTTTATTTCCCATTATTCAACCAACAGCTCTTCGCCCAACAATTCGCTCTGTGTTCAGCCTGTGCTGGGTAGCCCTGGGGACACAATGGTGCCTGAGACCGTCCCCTCCTGGGACTTGCATTCCAGTGTTGGAGACAGACCTGTCCTCAAGACAGCGACGACCCAGAGTGGCAGGGCTGAGTCATGGGAGCCCAGGAGGCTGCCAGAGCCGGGGAGGAATGTCTCATCCAGCCTTGGGGGTCGGAGAGGGCTTCCTGGAGGAGGGAACATCTGCACTGGGGCTCAGCGAACAAGGTAGCAGAGAGCAGGTTGGCCGTGGCTCTGAGGAAAGGTGCGGATCTGCGCTGTAGTCTGGGGTCTGGACCACGGGCCAGCAGCGCCCTCTGCTGGACACATCCTGTAGTGCAGCGACCCAGGTACTGCAGGAGTTTGGAAAAGCCTCGCGTTGAACCAAATTCTATGATGTGAGAATCCTGTGCGCCCAGCTTTGGCCAATTTACATTTCTAAGACTTGATTCATTCAGTCAACCATTCAACAAATACTTATTGAGCACGTACTTTGCACCAGGCTCTGTTCTACTGCTCAAGATACAGTGCTGACAATACAGAGCCCTATCCATACGCTAACTCATTCAATCCTCGCAGCCTTTGACCTTCCCCATTTTACAGATTCAGAAAATTGACACACAGAGAAGTTACGTTACTTGCCCAAGGCCTTCACAGCCAGTAAGTGCTGGAATCAACTTCAAACCCAGAGCCCAGTTTTTAGCCATTTACAATTACCTCGCCAATAATGTGATGAAACATCATAATATGACCACGTTACATATAATAATTTTAGGCCCTGAAAAGTTTTGTGAACAAGATCAAGCAGGGGAATGCGGTAGTGTTTTGGTGAGACGGTGTAATTTGGGAGGGGCAGTCAGGGAAGGCCTCTCGGAGGAAGCGGCCTTTGAGAAGCTCCCAGACTAACGGATGGGATCTGTGGGAAGAGAGGTCCAAGCAGGGGGCACAGCCAAAGGAAAGGCCGGGCGGCAGGCACTGAAAGAAAGCCGTCGGTCTGGGATCCAAAGTTTCCAAGATTCCAGCTGCGCTGAAAGCCGGCTTTCCAGACTCCAGCGCGCTGGAATCGTCCTCGGATTCCCCGGGCCCGAGAGGCCACGGGCTCGTCGGCGCTGATTCTGCTACTGCCTCAGGGCCGGGGCCGAGGGGCTCCAGTGGAGCCGGGCGGTGGGCGGGGTCGGCCTCACCTGCGGGGGCGGGGCTCCCGGCCGCCCCGCCCCTCGGAGGAGCCGCCAGCGGCCCGACACTCGGGGCTCAGCTGGGAACTGCGGGGCGTGCGCGGTGTGCGGGACGCGGCCGGGCGCATCGCGGCGGAGCGGGTCCCGGAGCCGCCCGCGCTCAGGTGGGCCCCCCGAGTGCCGGGCGGGAGTCCCGGGGACCGCGAGGATGGGGGCGGGGACGGAGGGCGAGGGCTGGGCCCGGCGCACCCTTGGGCCCGCTGGCTTGGCGACGGGGACGGGCCTTGGGGCCCCTGGGAGCCCCCCTGCCCCGCCCTGGGGCTCCCCCCCCCCGGGTCCGGAGGCCCAGCTGGGGCGCCCCCACGCCCAGGGCGCAGGTAAACAGGAGCGAAGACGGGGCGGGGCCTGGGGGGAGGGAGGGGGCCCTTGTGACGGCCTGGCTGGGGAAGCCCGGGTGCGCGGGACTGGGCCGGCCCGCCAGGGGCAAGGTGTGTGGTTTAGGGGGCTGGCCGTGGTGGGGGCCTCCTGCCTGCTGGTGTGGGAGTGGAGCTGGTGCGTGTGAGAGACGGTGTAGGAAGCCCAGGTGTGTGTGATGGTGTAGGCAGCTCAGGTGTGTCTGATGGTGTAGGCAGCTCAGGTGTGTCTGATGGTGTAAGAGGCTCAGGTGTGCGGGCGATGGCGTCAGGCGGTGGGTACCGGTAAGAAAGGCAGACGGACGGTCCGTGGAACCCTGCGCGGGCGCCGAGGGACTGTGGGAATGCTGTGGAGCTGTTTCGGAGATAGGAACACGTGGGCGACCTCTGCTTGTGAGTCTCCTGCGGGGGGTGGGGGAGGGAGGTGAACTGTTTGTAGGATTAGGTGCGTGGCCCAGAGCTTGCGGGGCTGGGCAGTCTGTCTGCCTGTAAGGTGCGGGGAGCCGCAGGGAGGTGGGCGGTGGGGGACCCGCATGGATGGCCAGGGCGTGCCTGTGATTAACACCGTCAGCTGTGCGGTTGTGTGTGCGTGAAAGGGAGTTGTTCGCGGGACTGAGTGTGGGCAAAAGCGTGTGCAAAATGGAGCTGTCAGAATGACTCTCCGTGAACTTGTGTGAGCCTGACTTTGTGGGGCTTGTGTGTGACTGAGTACGGTGTGATACGAACACACATACATATAGCGAGAGGGCTTGGCCAAAGCCCCACATATACGTAGAGATTGATGGCAGGTGAGAGCCTGCAGAATATAAAAGCCATGGCTTATGTGCCTTCCCTACTGTGTGTCTCAGGGTATATGATGGTGAGCACGGGCGGAGGTACCCAAACCACCGGGCTGCTTATGGTGGACTAGAGGGTACACGCAGAAACCGTGGATGATCTGTCTCCACCGCTGCCTGTGCCTGTCGTGGGCACCCCCTGGGACAGGACGGCTGAGTCTGTGTCCAGGAACCATTGATATGCCCACATTTGGTGGGCATATCAATGTGCTGGCCGTGCTGCGGGCGGGTGTGTGAATCCCTGGCTGGCCCGGCGAGGTGTTGGAGGAAGTGGGGAAGGAGGTGACGGGTCCGCAGTGACTCCTAGGAGTGAGTGTGTGTGCGTGTGCACACGTGCCTGGAGGAGGCACGTGATGGAGAGTTAGCTGCTTGCAGGACCGTGTGAGTGCGGGAGAGGGTGTGTCGTGGGGGTAAGTGCAAGGAGACAGGCTGAATGTGAGTGATTTGGTTATCTTTTCACAGCGGGGGGTGCGGGGTGGACAGAGCTTGTCTGTGTGTGTGTGTTGGCTTTTATCCCTGAGAGGAAAATAGACCTGTGTGTTGGGTTGTCTTTCCAAGAGGAGAGCATACATGGGTTATTTCTTTTTTTTTTTTTTTTTTTTTTAAGATTTTATGTATTTATTTGACAGAGAGAGACACAGCGAGAGAGGGAACATAAGCAGGGGGAGTGGGAGGGGGAGAAGCAGGCTTCCCGCTGAGCAGGGAGCCCGATGCAGGGCTCGATCCCAGGACCCTGGGATCATGACCTGAGCCGAAGGCAGACGCTCAACGACTGAGCCACCCAGGCACCCCTATGTGTGTTATTTCTAAAGAGTATATGCCCGAGTTAGTGTGTTAGTTTTTTTTTTTTAAGATTTTATTTATTTGAGAGAGAGAGCAAGAACGAGCCGGGGGAAGAGTAGAGGGAGAAGCAGACACACCGCTGAGCAGGGAGCCCGATGCGGGGCTCGGTCCCAGGACCCTGGGATCATGACCTGAGCCGAAGGCAGACGCTTAACGACTGAGCCACCCAGGCGCCCCTGTATTAGGTTGTTTTTTTTTTAAAGATTTTATTTATTTATTTGAGAGAGAGAGAATGAGAGAGAGAGAACACATGAGAGGGGATAGGGTCAGAGGACGAAGCAGACCCCCTGCCGAGCAGGGAGCCCGATGCGGGACTCGATCCAGGGACTCCCGGATCATGACCTGAGCCGAAGGCAGTCGCTTAACCAACTGAGCCACCCAGGCGCCCCTGTATTAGTTTTTTTGAAAGGAAAATGCGGATGTGTGGGACTGTATTCAGTTTTAATTTTTTAGAGGAGACAGAGCATGTCCAGAGTATGTCGTGTTTCTGAGAGGAGAATGTTTATCACGTTCTATTTTTAAGAAAGGAGTGTGTGTACGTTGAGTTGTATTTCTGAGAGGGGAGCGTGTGTATGAGCGGGTGTGTTTCTGAGAAAGTATGTATATATTGCACTGTATTTGAAAGAAGAAAGCATGTTTTTGATTTCTGAGAGGAGAATGCGTGTGTCGCGTTGTGTAAGAAGGGAGGGTGTGCGTGTGCTGGGGTCTATTTCTGGGAGCGGACTGTGTGTGTGTGTGTATGGTGTGTGTATAAGGGCTCCAGAGGCACCACGAGCTGTCATCGACTTTGTCACCCACAGACAACCACATTGTTGGGACCCCCACCCATTAGCATCGAGGCCTCAGACTCCGAGTTGTTGCATGGCTAGTGTGACATCCCTGGGCTGTGGCTGCCACACGTGTGTCCCAACATGCCTCGGGCTGGCTGAGCCTGTCTGCAGTGGACGGTGGAGCCCCTGTTCCCTTGGGTCTGTCAGCTCCTCAGATCCTGGGAGCTGACACATGAGCCCCCCCGCCATCCTGATTCCCCCAAACCTAGAGGGCTCCTCTGCTTCCGGCGCCCCAGCCCCTTGGCCCTGTCCTCCCGCCCCACCCCACCCCCAGTGGTCTGACTGGTTCCCAACAAAACACCCTAAGAATGAGCTCACGGAGAGGCCGCCGCCTCCACACGCCCCGCCCCAAGCGCCCGGCAGAGGCGGGGGCGTCCAGTCCAGGTCACACGGCCGGGAGGTGTTCTGGGCCCGGGGATCTGGGGCCCTTGGGGTGGACGGGGCTGGCCAGGTGAGCTGAGGGCAGGTGAGAGACCACGAGACCACTGTTTGCCCTCTTTGGGTTAGTCATACGTGGGGTTTTGGACTTGCCCTCGGGGCAGGGCCCGGGGCTGAGGACAGAGCTAGACTAGGATGTTTCCAGTTGCCGGCTGGCTGGGACGGGTGTGGGACAGGGAGCCAGCCGGAGTGAGGAGGGCACGGGGACAGAGGGCCGGCCGGATGGCTGGACAGGGAGACAGTCGGGAAGGGTCCTCCTGGGCCCGAATGGCATACAGGCTGACGATTCCCCAACCCGCCCCAGGAGCAGCAATGTCGGTGCAGGTGGCAGCCCCTGGAAGCGTGGGGCTGGGCCCAGAGCGCCTGAGCCCCGAGGAGCTGGTGCGGCAGACCCGACACGTGGTGCAGGGGTTGGAGGCCCTGCGGGCCGAGCACCATGGCCTGGCCAGGCACCTGGCTGAGGCCCTGGCGGGACAGGGCCTGGTGGCCGGCTTGGAGCTGCTGGAAGAAAAGCAGCAGGTGGTGAGCCACGCGCTGGAGGCCATCGAGCTGGGACTGGGTGAGGCCCAGGTATGAGGGGACCAGCTCTCCAGCTATGCCGGTGAGGCTCAGAGCGGGGAGGAGGCCTGGGGATGAGGGAGACAGGTATGCGGTGGGGGTGGGGAGCCAGGCCGGGGGAGGAGAGGCGCTAGGCCGGAAATGGGATTCCTGGGCAGCATTAGGGGGTCCTGGTGTGGTGCGGGGGCCCCTGAACCAAATGGCATCCATCTATAGAACTCTGGGTCCTGGGGAGCCTTTGGGGTCACATGGGTAGAATATGAAGTGTCCCTACATGTAATTTGTGTGGCTGGGTGAGATCAGAAGGGTCCCCGGACAGGATCTGGGTATGGCCGCTGGGAGCCCCTGCACAACCTTGAGTACCATGGAAGCGGGGGACCCTGGGGGGCGTGGGGGTGCTCGGGGTCGGGCCCCTGACTCCCGGGCCCACGCAGGTGCTGCTCGCCCTGTCGGCGCACGTGGGCTCGCTGGAGGCCGAGAAGCAGCGGCTGCGAGCGCAGGCCCGGCGGCTGGCCCAGGAAAACTCATGGCTGCGGGAGGAGCTGGAGGAGACGCAGCGGCGGCTCCGGGCCAGTGAGGCGGCCGTGGCCCAACTGGAGGAGGAGAAGAGCCACCTGGAGTTCCTGGGGCAGCTGCGGCAGTATGACCCGCCCGCGGAGAGCCAGGTGCTGCCGGGCTGGGCCGGGCGCTGGGCCCCCATCCTCCTTAGACACCCCACAGACCTGTACCCCCCGCCCCCGGGAGCCCCCCGCCGTGCCCTAGATCCTCCCTCCAAAGCTCTGGATCCCTGACAGAGTTCCACAACCTCCAGACCCACTAGAATGTCCACAGAAGCGCCCCCCGCCCCGGCTTCCACAAAGCCCCCAGATCCTCCCCAAGCCCTCAGGAACACCCCCCTGCCAAGGCTCCTGATCACTGCCTCCCTCAAACCCTGAGATCCAGGACCCCGGTCTCTAAAGCAAACTCCCAGCCCTCTTGACCCCCCCTTTCCTGCCCTCCGCAGCGGCCTGAATCCCCCCCTCGCCGAGACAGCCTGGCCTCCCTGTTCCCGAGTGAGGAGGAAGAAAGGAAAGGTGGGTGTCGGGGATCCTGCAGTTGTGGGGCCGCTCAGCCCCGGAGGACGAGAGGCTGAGGCTGGGGAGGGACCGTGAGCCCCCGAGGTGGGTGTCCGCGCAGGGGAGCGGGAGCACGAGGCCAAGGGGCTGGGTCAGGGCGGGTGACGGCCGAGGCTGGAAGCCGTGAAACCAGGCGTGGTGGCCGCCGTGCCACCGGCCAGGCAGACCCCGTGTTCAGGTCCCACGGACCAGCTAGACGCCTGCGGTCCCGACCTCAGAGGCCCGGTGCGGGGCCCGTCACCCCAGGCGCCCGTGGGGCAGCTGTAGTCCTGGGGGAGGTGTCCCCTCTTACGCGGTGGGAAGGCTGGGAGGCCGGCGGTGCCCTGATGCCCGGCGGCCGCCCGCAGGCCCCGAGGCAGTGGGGGCTGCCGCGGCTCAGCAGGGGGGCTACGAGATCCCCGCCCGCCTTCGGACCCTGCACAACCTCGTGATCCAGTACGCGGGCCAGGGCCGCTACGAGGTTGCCGTACCGCTGTGCCGCCAGGCCCTGGAGGACCTGGAGCGGAGCTCAGGTCACTGCCACCCCGATGTGGCCACCATGCTCAACATCCTGGCGCTGGTATACCGGTGAGACCGCAGCCGGCCCTGGACCCGTCGTTGGGGGCGCGGGAGCTGGGGTCCTGCTCTGCCAGCATGGGGCACCTGGGTGGGTGGGGCCGGGGGAAGCCGCTGTGACCCAGGCGAGGAGTCGTCAGAGAGCGTGGGCAAGAGACCCCAACAGCGCGGGGAAGAGACTGGGGGCTTGCCAGCAGAGGGAGCCTGTGCTTGACTTGGAAGGTAGTGGAGACACCCACAGGGGACCGCGGAAGGGTGACAGCCCAGCGTGGCTCACCCCCCTCCGTCCCTGGGCCACCTCACAGGGACCAGAACAAGTACAAGGAGGCCACAGACCTTCTCCACGATGCCCTGCAGATCCGGGAGCAGACGCTAGGCCCTGAGCACCCTGCAGTGAGTGGGGGCCCAGGAGTGAGGGCTGTGGGGCCCTGCCTCTCCCCCCCCCCACCCGCCCCAACACACATCCTGACCTGCCTCCCCTACCCTGCAGGTGGCCGCCACCCTCAACAACCTGGCGGTGCTCTATGGGAAGCGGGGGCGGTACCGGGAGGCGGAGCCCCTGTGCCAGCGAGCCCTGGAGATCCGGGAGAAGGTACTGCCCACCCCCGCGGAGTCCCTGGTCCACAGGCCCCTGCTGCCCGCCCCAGCGGGGTCCCTGGTCCACGGGTCCTTCCCACTTGATCCTGATGCGTTCAATTCAGTGGCTCGTGCCTTGTGACCCTGATCCTATGATATCCTTCCCACCTGCTCTTGTGAGCCCCCCAGTTTGAGCCTAGATCATCTCATGACCCCACTGTGCTTGACCTTTAATGAACTCCATCTGATCTTGACTCTACTTGTCCTTCTACATCACTTCATATGCCTCCCAGCCCAGTCCTGACCTTCCAATCCCATATGACCACCCTGACCTGATTAAGCCTGTTTGTGCAACTTCTACCCTCTGGCCTACAATCTCCTAACTCCCCATTGGTCCTATGAACCTTTCCTCATGACCCCCCCTTGTGGCTATCGGTATCACATCCATCCCCCCCAACCCCTAGGTCCTGGGCAGCGACCACCCGGACGTGGCCAAGCAGCTCAACAACCTGGCCTTGCTCTGCCAGAACCAGGGAAAGTTCGAGGAGGTGGAGCAGCACTATGCCCGAGCCCTGAGCATTTATGAGGCCCTGGGAGGGCCCAACGACCCAAATGTGGCCAAGACCAAGAACAACCTGGTGAGGGCGCTGCGGGGCGCAGGTACAACTCGGCCCTGGGGCCGACCGCCAGGGGTCCCCCAGGAGAGACAGACACCCACTGGCTCAAGTGAGCCGCTGGAGCAGGGGCCCTCTAAGACTTGGCCTCTGAGCTGGGCCCTGACTCGTGAGATCACTAGGCACGTAGAGGACATGGAAGCCACAGGAAACACGCAAGTTGGTGGGGCCAGATGACAGTGTCAGATGTTTATTGAGCTCTGAACCCCCTTCTTAGTCCTTAAGGGAAAGGACCATCCATTTCTTAAAGGACCCTAAGAGGTAGGTGCTCCTTTCGTCCCATTTTGCAAATAAGGAAACTGAGGCACAAAGGTGGTGTCACTAGCCCAGGGTGGAGCAGGAACCAGTCACCTGCCCTAGGTCACGAGGTGGGGGGAGGGGAAGATGCGCCGGGGGCGCTCCAGATCTGAGCCACGATCACCCACCCTCCCCGCAGGCCTCAGCCTACCTGAAACAGAACAAGTACCAGCAAGCAGAAGAGCTGTACCGAGAGATCCTGAGCCGCGAGGACCTGCCTGCCCCTCTGGGTGAGCCCCCGGCCCTGCCCTTGCCCCCCAGGTGACTGCTCCATGTCCCCACTGCACTGTCCCCTCTGTTCCTAGGAGCCCCCAACACAGGCACAGCTGGTGACACAGAACAGGTGAGGAGGGAGGATGGGCTTTGCTGCGGCTCCTGGGGCGGGGACTGGAGGAGAAGGGGGGCACTGACTGGTCCTGGGCGCCCTCCCCAGACCCTTCGTCGGAGCAGCTCCTTCTCCAAGATCCGGGAGTCGCTAAGGCGTGGAAGTGAGAAGCTGGTCTCCCGTCTCCGAGGCGAGGGGGTGGCAGGGGCAGCCGGGTGAGTGTCTGATCCGAGCAGGAAGCTTCTGCAACCCACCCAACTCCGTCCTGTTCCAGAACCTTCCACGGTTCCCCTCTCCTACCCATACAGTCACATCCGGTGCCAGGCAGGTCTTGCCCGGAGTGGGAGGCAGACCCTCGGGGGACTCACCGTGCCACCCTCTCTTCACAGGATGAAGAGAGCCCTGTCGCTCAACATGCTAGACGTGGATGTTCCAAAGGCTGCTGGGCTCCAGGTGAAAGGGGCTGGGGGGCACGCTGGCAGGTCCAGAGGGAGGCGTGGGCAGGGCCAGGCTGGTGTGGGAACGGACCCAAGAACAGAAGGGCCGGGGGAGGGATGGGCCGGGTCCTGCCCCTTGCCCACCCCTCCCCTGCGCCTGTCCGCAGTTCCCCAGTCAGCACCCAGGCGAGGTCTCGCGGACCCTCAGCACCAACACCCAGGACCTGGGCCCCCGCTGAAGGTGACAGGACTGCGTGGCTGCAGCTTCTCAGGAAGAATGGGGAAGGGGTGAGGGGATCGCCTTTCATCTCCCCAAGTTGCTCCCCACCTCTTGGGGGCACCCACGGTATGGGACTCCCCATTCTCCTCCTCTGATTAAAGGCTGTAGATCTGGAAGCCAGGAATGTCTGCCTGAGGTTTCCTGTGAGGACCTGAGGCCACCTCCGAGCCGCTGGGCCCCAGGGCCAGGTGAGCCCCCGGAGTCACCGCACGCAGCTACGGCCCTGTCCGCACCTTGAGCTACAGCTGCTGGGCAATCTGCTCTATCCTCCGCAGCGTCTCCTCGGATTCCAGCTGCTCCCGGCTGAGCAGGGACAGGCCCAGCTGGTCCTCCTGGAGGGGGGGAGAGGAATCAGCTCCGGGGTGGGCCGGACGACTGTAGCGCGTCCCCACAGGCCCTCCCTGGGACAGTGGGGGCCAAGGGGCAGAATGTTTGAATCTAGAAACACCTATCGAATGGGGAACATCCCCCTGGAAGCAGAAGCCAGGCCTGAGGAGGGAGAGGGAAGCCAGCTGTGGGCACACACACCCCTGTGTTGAGGGCAGGCCCCCTCTAGCTCACCCGATGGAATGGCTGAGCCATCTGCCTCAGGAAGTACTTGGCAACCTGGACTCCCTCATCCACAGTCAGGTTGAGGTTGGCGTCGGTGAGATGCTCCTGGATCCAGCGGGGCAGTTTCCCGCGCTTGTCTGCCCGGGCAAACCGCTTTCAGCAGAAGAGCGAGGGAGAGAGGGAAGACATCAGGCCCCCAGTGCGGGGGGGGGGGGGGGCGGAGCCCAGGCCTCTTTCCCCATCTAGAAAAGGGGGACAGCCTGGTAGGCAGAGGCCCCGGCACCCGCACCTTATCGGCAAAGACCATGAGGCCGTAGTCTGTCTTGCCCCGGATGGCCCGGCCCACGCACTGGGCCGCATGGCGCATGGCGTCGAAGGTGAGAAAGTCGTTCTCTCGGATCTGGAACTGGTCCCGCAGGTACTCCAGCCGCGCCTGCCCGAGAGAAGAGAGCAGAGCGGTCCCTCCTGCCCCTCCCACATGCCAGCCCAGGCCCAGTCCCTCCGAGCGGCCCCCGGGGCTGCTCACCTTGAGGATGCGGCTCTGCGTGTAGACGTAGGGGACGCCGAACATGATGACCGCGCGCCCGTAATGGTGCACTGGGGGGGCGAGCACAGGAGGGGGGCCGGAGAGAGGGGGAGATCAGGCTGAGGGGGGGGGGTGGTCCGCTGGGGGAAACAGCCAGAGCCCCATGCAGGCACCTGGGGATGGGGAGAGCCTGGCCCACTCACCAAAGTCGATTCCCTCGGACACTTTGCCCCGGGCCACGGACAGCAGGATGGCTCCACGGCCATTCTCACAGGCCTGGGGAGGGGAGGCCGAGACAAGTGCTAGGTCCCCCAGAGCTGCGTCCTCCGGGCCCCCTGTGTGCAGTCTCCTGGCCCTCCCCCTGCCCCCCCCCCCCCCCCCCGGCGCCCATGCCCACCTCCTGGTACTTCTCCAGGGCGACGCTGGTCTCGGCCCCATCTTGTGTCTCAATGAAGAGGAGCTTATTCCTCTGGATGTTTTCAAGAATGCCCTGGGAAGGACAGCAGGCAGGTCAGGCTGTGGGTTGGCAGGAAGCGGCTTAAGGCACAGGCATCCTGGCTCCGGTCAACTCTGCCCCAGTTCCTGTGCGGCCACCCGCTTCGGTCCCAGGGTCCCAGCGGCCAGCAGAGACTCGGCGGGGGCTGGGGGGGGGGGGGTTGCGGGCCGGTCTCACTCCTGGAGGAAAGCTCTGTGATTCCAGGCACAGAACCCATCCCCGCACCCCATCTTTCGGGCAAGTGGGGCAGGCATATGGCCCAAGATGGCCCATTGGGACACTCCGCCCCCCCAGCTGGTGCTTAGTGGAGGGGCTGATGTAGGCCAGGCCGGGGCTGCCCAGAGATTTCCGTGACACTGCACTAGCTTTGTGACAGCAACCAAGGACAGACGCAGGGACAGACCGGTGTGACAGAATGGAGCGTCCAGAAACACACTCGCACACCGATGGCTCACCCATACCATTCAGGGGGGACAGTGCTTTCCAGTGAATGGGGCTGCAGCAGCTGGAGTTCCACAGGGGGAGACAAAGAACCTCGACCCTGACCTTACACCACACACAAAGATGTGAGGTACCTCACAGACCAGATGTGAAAGCTAACCCGAGGCTTCTAGAAGAAACACAGGAGGTGATCTTCAGGACCTTGGGGCAAAGCTTCCTTAAATAGGACATACAAGACTCAGGATGTGGACTTGGGTGGCCAGCAGCCATCTGAGGACAAGACCAAGGTCTTGACCAAGTGGACAAGGCTCCCCCCACCCCGCTCCCTGGAGTGTGGCTCAGCCAAGTTCTCTCATCTCACCCTAAAGAAGCGCCTGCTTTCACTACCCGAGAGCTGGGCCATGATGACGAGAAGTGGAGAGGTCACGACGGCCCCCTGCCGGCCCCCCAGGGCCTGGCTGCGGTGAGCCCCATTTCCAGAACACTCTGTGACCTCACCCCTGCACTGTCCCGCAGGGGCTCTTGAGTTTTTAACCTGGATGTGGGGGGAAGGCAGGGGGGACTAAGGTATACACAGTTTGTTCTGTGAACTGTTCGTATGTGTTTTATACACTGTCCTGTCACCTACGATACATGTCACCACTTAAAACACGAGACAAACGAAGCCAACACACAGGGAGAGAGCCGGGGGCTGAAAAGAGCGGAGCCCCCCCAGGGAGCGGGCGGCTGGGCGTACCTGCTCATACCAGGAGGCCACAGTGCTCTCCATGTACTGGTAGCTAGTGAAGAAGGCCACGATGCCGTCAGGGACCACGGCGGACATCTCCAGCAGGAGGTTCCCATAGTTCCGGATCACCGCTGGGGGCGGCGGGGGGGGGCGCGGTCAGAGGTTGTGTGCAGGTCCCACTCCCCCCCCCATCAGAACTTTCCTATCTAATGCCCCGTCTTGAACTTGGGGTTCCTAGAAATCCCCAAGGCCACCTGGAGGGCTGTTCACACACATTCCACTTGTCTTTCCAGGCCCCTGGGAGGACGGCACCCCCCCCCCCCCGCCCCTGGAGTTAGGTGTGACCATGTGACTTGCCCTGGCCAAGAAGTGCAGAAGCGGCCGTGGGTCACTTCCGGGTGAACACCTTTATGAGGCACAGCACCATTACCAGGATCCTTCCTGCCACCCCTCACCCTCGTAGTGACGCATCCAGTGGGGAAGGTCCCCAGGGGGAGGAGACACGGGGCAGGCGGCACATACTGTGAGCAAGAGGTAACCTCTGTGTAACCCCACTTGGACTCGGGGCTATGTGCCAGCTTGCTGCAGCCTGGCCTAGCCCACTGATCCACGCGCCCTCTCAGAACCCATGCAAGCTGCCCCCACGAGCAGCATACCAATATCTTCCCGGGTCTCAAACTTGGAGCTGATGGCCACCTGGTCGTTGCCACGACCAATGATCTGCAGAGAGTGAGAGGCGTCACGCTAAGCAAACGGCAGCACCCACTGCTGGTGCCGGGCTCAGCTTCTTACAGACCCGAGGTCACGGACTGGGCCGTCGGCTCCCCTGTTATCTGCACGGCACGGGTGACGACCTCCGGCCCGGAGAAGGTGAGCTGCCTGCCCCAGGGCACGCGGCAAACCCGCGGCGGTGGCAGGACTGAGCCCGAGTCTGCGCACGCGGCTGACCAGCAAGCACGCGCTCCCGGCCCCGGCGTCCGGGCCCGGCACTTCCCGGAGAAAGCGTCTCACCACGACCTCGGCAGCCACCAGCCACGGGTGCGCCCCCCTCCCCCACCAGCAACTCCACAGACCACGGTGCAGGACGTGGCCGTCACCAGTCCCCAACCCGTGAAGGGCAATTCCAAAGGCCAAGAAACTCCAGACAGTTCACTTCGGCGCCAACTCCTCCAGTAGCAAAACCCGCCCTCACCTGAGTCTGTCCGGAGTCCTGACTTAGCCGCCTTAGTCTGAAGTCCCAAAACATGCTCCTGCTGAACTAGGACTTCCACTGGCGGGAGCTGCCCCAACCCCGCTGGGAAGGCCACATAGCACACAGCATGTGCTTTGTTTTTTAGTCTGGAACATTCTCAATTCTAAAATACATCTGGCCCAAGGGATTCAGATAAGGGACGGAGGGCCCACGTTATGATGCCTGTTTTACAAAGGAGACTGAGGCAGAGCAGAAGGGTCGTCATCATCAAGGTCACGGCCAGAGGACAAACTAGGCAGAGCCTACGTTAACCAAGACGTTGACTGAGTGCCGACCAGCACCAGGCCCTGGGCCACATAAGCGTTTTATACCTGCCCTCTCACTATCCCCTCAACCACCTGAGAGGTCAGGGAGGCCGCATTCCCATTTTACAGATTAGAAACTGAGGCTTGGGGAGTCACACCCACAGGGAGAGGTACCATCCAGCCCCGATCTGTCTGAATCCAGAGTCTGTGCCCTCGGCTGTAACACTCTCCTGCCTCAACAGCAGGGGGGGGACAGAGGGAGGAAAGGCGGCACACCTCCCCTGGCCCAGCACCCACCCTCTCCCACGCACCATGGGGCAGAGGCAGACCCGGGCCAGCGTCATGGTGAAGGTTGCCAGGGTGACAGGATGGAAGTCCAGAATCTTGGGGTAGATGTCCAGTGGGGACAGGGTCTGCAGCAGGGACAGCAGGAGGGATCTTAGCAGAACTGGGCAGCAACCAGGAGCCTCACACTTGAGGGCTGGGCACTGGGGGCGGAGAAGGGTCCTCACCCCAGACGTGATGATGACAGACTGGAAGCGCTCAAACACAGGTTTGATGGCCAGTGAGGCGTCCATGCAGCTGTAGGAAGCAGACGAGGTGGTGAGGACCACGCTGCTGCCCGCGTGGTCCGTTCACACCCCCAACACTGTGTCGGGTCTCACCTGAAGTGCAGGATGGGGTTGGCAATGGTGGGGGTCCTGTCATCAAAGGGCTCGA